TGTCAGCATACACAGCTGCACCTACCACGGGTTTTACTGTTACCTTGTTTATCTGGGTATCACCACGCAGGGCTGCAACTACCTCCGGTTTTTACTGTTACCTTGTTTATCTGGGTATCACCACGCAGGGCTGCAACTACCTCCGGTTTTTACTGTTACCTTGATTATTTAAGCATCACCACCACAGCTACAACTACCTCAGGTTTTACCATCAGCGGGTACAATGAAAGTGTCAATGACATTTTAGCTCACCTTGGGTGTGATAGAAGAGGGAGATATTTAAAAGTTTGTAAGTGTTTCATTTATGACGGACCGAAATGTGATCAAATGTCCTTATTCCCTGTTTTATACTAATAGAATTTCACTGTTTTGTTTCAGGTTTAGTTTTGATGCGAAAATAAATGTTCCAGATCTGAAAGTCTGAAATCTGGGCAAGAGAAGGTGCTACGCCTAAATGATCGCCATTTTGGTTTTCGATTATCGCGCAAATAAAAGCAATAAAATATTCCAGTCAAATTACTGTAAAGAAGAACCTAAAACACAATATTACACGTAGGTATGATTAGGTAGGTAGGTAGGTAGGTAGGTAGTAGGTAGGTAAATTTAACAAAATAGAATGAATCTAGACAGCCATTTTCATTTTTTGCCAAAAAGTGGGCGTGGCTCGAAAGTAGGTCGACTGGCGTGCTCCAAAATAGGACGTTCAAATCTCTCCCATAGGAGTAACAACTGTATGCAATTTGAAACAGGTGGGTCAAACGGTTCTTGAGTTATCGTTGACCATAGGCAGACACTGAAATGCATAGTGAAATGGCTAAAATCTACCTAATTTGCATAATTGTAAAAAAATATCAAAACCAGTGTGATATGTTTTGGGGCCAGTCCTTATTCATTCACATACCAAAATGAGCAAAATCTGTTGAACCTGAACTGACTTATGGCCATTTCCATTTTTGCCAAAAAGTGAGCGTGGCTCGAAAGTAGGTCGACTGGCGTGCTCCAAAATAGGACCTTCAAATCCCTCCCATAGGAGTAACAAGTGCCGCAGAGCGACAGCGCTCACCTGACGGCAGGTGTTCTGATGCTAAACTCACTGGCAAACGAATGAAGAGCACCCTCCCATCACTGCGATCGCGCTCAGAGCATATATCTAGGAAGCACGCGACGGTCAGCGTCGGCACGGAGACGACGACGATGCGGCGGTGGCGGCGGCAGCGGCGACCCGCCCTCGCCCGCCAAGATGCGGCGGCGAGAACGGGGGGGGGGTCCATGTGGGTCAGCGACTAGGTCACTAAGGGTCACGGAAGGTCACGGATGACCGGCTTGCTGTGGGGGGTGGTCGGGGGGTTGCCGCCTCTGCCGCCGCCGCCTCCGCCCTCGTCGTCGCCGCGACGAGCGCGGCGCAGCACACTTACACGAGCAGCCCTCCTCGTCGGACCCGTCCGGGCAGTCGCGGTCAAAGTCGCACGTCCAGCTGCTGGGCACGCAGCGGCCCGTCGTGCGACACTGGAACTGCGTGGCCGGGTTGCCGCACGACCCGTGCGCTGCGGGGAGAGAGAGAGACGCACCGTGCGCGCGGGCGGCGACGTTACCCCCCGCGAGAGAGCGCACCCCTACCTACCCGGGGCGCTCCCCGAGGCACGACCCGCGCGCTGAGGGGAGAGAGAGAGACGCACCGTGCGCGCGGGCGGCGACGTTACCTCCCGCGGCAATGTGGCAGAAAGAAGAGACTTGAATTGAAAGCCTTGCATGCCACGTGAAAATACTCGATGCCACACTGGCCATAGTTACAGGAAAGCAACTGCCACGAACGAAACACAAAACATCAATCAAGTTTCTAGGCGGCGTAAGGCCACAGCCGACGGTCGTGATCGAAATACAAAACATTGATAAAATGTCTGGGCATTGTAATGCAATAGCGGATAGTTGTGATAGAAATGACAAACATCGATAAAATTTCTGGGCAAACGAAACGCCGTAGCCGACGACTGCGATCGAAAGACGTACATTTTTCCGACGCGCGCTGAGGAAACCGATTGGGACGCGGTCGTCGCGGCAACGACGGCAATACATACTGCAGTTGGTCTCGTCGCTCATGTCGCCACAGTCATTGTCGCCATCGCAGTACCACGACATTGGCAGACAGCTGCCGGACCCGACGCAGCGGAACTCCGACTCCGGATCGCACGGGCTCGCTGCAAGTAAGACGCGCGTCAAGTACGAGATTCGCAGGAAATGGCAGCGGTAATCAAAACGAGTAATAAAAATTCGAATCGTGCATGTTTTGGAGAATGTAGCTCAGTACGAAGGTTCTAAGACATTTTATCGTTACTCTAGACTGTTAGTACTCAAGCCATAACGGTATGTGTCGTAAAATTGGGGAAAACACGAGATTATGTTCGAAATAAATACTTTAAGGTATTCGTGCATAGTGCACGCTCCCCTCAATCCTACTTTAGGATACCTTCTGTACATAAATTGCTGCCATCTTCATCTCCGTCTTCGTCATTGTCGTTATTGTCAGTGTGTATTGGGAGGCTAGAATAACTAGGTTAACTAGGTCCTCTCTTGCACCGAAGCTATACTCCCTAATGTACATTTTATGTATTCATGTGCTTGACGGTGCTAAATATATCAATTTAATCTATCTAATCTAATCTGATCATCATCATCATCATTATCAACATCACCCATCACCAGGGTTCGAATTTTGGCTGAAAATCTAGTGGACAGCAGGACCAACAACTTCAGAAAGACGGTGGTCCTGCACAAAAGTTGGTGGTCCGCTTATTTACTAGCAGTGAGTAACAAAATGGTATATAAAAATAACCATTGGCATTAACAGCATACATGCAACATAGAGTTGGTCAAATAATATATTTCAAGCTCTAGGAATGTCGGGGGAGCTTCTGGGAAAGGTTTTACTTTCGTTTTTCTCCTCCCCAGTCCTCGGTACCCTTGTATCGTAGTATTTGGATGCTCGCCCGAAACTGGACGCTCCTAAGTGCGCATGCGCGCAGGCGCCTCTTGTTTTGCAAAGGCACATGCGCAGCATGCGCAGTAGTCATCTGCGCATCTCGCCCATCGAAAACGGTCGCAATAAACAAACATGGCGGCCAACCCGGTCACTCATGGAAACATTTGATTGAAACAATTTGCAATGTAGTAAGTTAGTAAGACTGTGTTATGTGTGTCAGGTTACAAGGCGAAACAAAAAGAAAATAAAAGAGCATGGCTACTATTTCCTATGGTCCTGCAAAACAAGAGAAAAACAAAAGAGCATGCGCACTTAGGAGCGTCCAGTCTCAGGCGAGCGTCCAAATACTACGATACACCCCCATGCATAGATCAATGCGGCCGCACATCCGCAAAGTTACAAGTGCCTTGAATCTTGAAGTATATACAGTTTACATTGCTTCTAGATATCTAACTGAATTAAAACTGTCCACTTTCTACGTAAAGAAAAGTGACAAATTCAATTAACAGCTTTGATTACGTGCGTGTCAGGTGTCACTGGTCATGCCCTCACTCCCCATGATAACCCCTGCGACATATGAACTTATTGTTATGCGGTCATAAAAACACTGGGCTACGCTACATGCCGCAATCAATTTCTTAGACTGTCACAAGGTTTTGTTTGTGTGGCAAATCATGCTTGGAGGATGTTTTGGATACCCCATCTATGTTCAGGACCGGAGCGTATTAGATTGCGCTCCCGTTTACAAGTGTGTCTAAACTGCCGTTGCGATAACCGTAGTATTTCAGCGTAATATGAGGGGAAAAAGTGCGAGTCAGGAGGACCGGCAGTTTCATAGAGGTGGTGGCCGAAGCAAAAACTTGGTGGCCTCGGGCCTCCGGGTCAGCACTAATTTCGAACGCTGCCCATCACACACAGTTAAAAATAAATTGAAAAATTACACAAAAAATGAACATGTTCTGTTTTACAACGATAAATAAATTCTAAAAAAACCAACGGATTTCTAGCCTATTTCATAAACTTCGGTTATCCACCACAGCGAGAGCAGCAGTCACTGACCTTCTACACAGTGGCCGGACGAGCCTTCCACTTGACCGGCGGCGCACATGCACTCCCTTTTCGGTCCAATGGTCATGTTACCAGGACACAGGCATGTGTAGCCATTGTTTGGCAGGCCGACGCATATGTGCGTGCAGTTGTGAAAACTTTCGCTGCACTGGTTCGTGCCTGAAAACAACAGAAGCAAGGATGAAGGAAAACCACGACAACAGGGATGAAGGAAAACCACGGCAACAGGGATGAAGGAAAACCACGGCAACAGGGATGAAGGAAAACCACGGCAACAGGGATGAAGGAAAACCACGGCAACAGGGGTAAAGGATAACCACGGCAACAGGGGTA